CCATGCAGACATTTTATCAGCAAGTTTTAATTATGGAGTTTATGATAGTATTGAGTGAGGAAGAATAAATTATAAATACTTATGTGTCTATAACTCATAGAAAAGTTCACAGCATTTATGATGACAAGAATACAGCTTTCTAAAATAAAATTTATACTTTTGTATTGTTAGAAGTAAATAACCTTGGATGGAAGTTTAAATATTGTCTAGAGGTCTGTGGGTTAACCTGAATAGTTTTTATTTTCAAAATGGAAAGTGGGTGTCACCCTTAGCACCTGTAGATATTCCACCTAAAAGTTGTTTTTTTTTTTTTTTTTTTCCTACAATGTGTCTTCACTGCTAGCCAAATGTCTAACTGGATTTTAAATCTAGAACTATCCTAAATGTATGACATGATATCCAAAGTGTCTACCACTGTGCCTGGCACTTCAACTTGATCTCCTTGTCTCCTTGGAAATAATGGGAAACATGTTTTAAGTTCAAATTTCCTTTTTACTACCTTCATCTGTTAATACCACAGAAGTCTATTCAATAACAGTGATTAGATCAATTGTCTGGCACTATGGCTCTACCCACCCTTCCGGCCACTGTGTTATTACTTGCATAAAAAAAACAAAAAACAAAAAACAAAAAACAAAAACAGTAAATTATCTAGTCCCTTTAGATTTGGCTTTCTCCCACTACTCTAGTCTCATATTTCAATACGTTACTCCATACGGCATGTGCTCTAGTTATCTCTCACTTCTGGCTTTTCACTTTCCTGACTCTGTCATTTTGTTTGTTCTGCTCTTCTTGGTAAAACACCATCCTATACCTGCCGCCTAAAAGTCCTATTCATCATTGTGATCTCAGCTGCATCATGACCTGACCCGAGTCTCCCCCACAGTCATAACTAATCTTTCCTTTCACTGGTTGCCCACATGATTTTTCTGTACTTGAGTCATAGCCATCACATTATCCTGTCCTTTATTTTAGTATTTCTATGCTAAATATCCTCACAGTAACATCTTTAATGATAGGTAGGAACTGTTTTGCCTGTACTCTTCACAATGCTTCATCCACTCGAGCTTGTTATAAAGCACTAATGATCATTTAAGGTAGAATGAAAAACCAAATGCACTGGAGTAAAAGAACTGATGAAGAGGTATATATACAAATTTTATAAATATAAGTTTAAAGACATACATATTTGTTACAGTTTTCTATTTGTTTAGATCATACTGAGGGCTAAAACACACTGCTTCATTTGATTTTACTTTTTATTGTGGTAAGATATACTTCATGTAAAATTTTTATTATAAAAATATTTTGGGGCACCTGGGTGGCTCAGTCAGTTAAGCATCTGACTTGGGCTCAGGTCATGATCTCACGGTTTGTGGGTTCGAGCCCTACATTGGACTCTGTGCTGATAGTTCTGAGCCTGGAGCCTGCTTCAGATTCTGTGCCTCCCTCTCTCTGCCCCCTCCCCACTCAGGCTGTCTCTCTCCCCCCCTCCCTCTCTCTCTCTTGAAAATAAGCATTATTTTTTTTTTCCATTTTAACCATTTGTAAGTGAGCTATTCAGTACTGTCTAATACATTCACATTGCTGTGCAAAATCCCCACCATCCTCTCCAGAACTTTTTGACCATTCCAGAGACTATGTAGCCACTAACCACCCACACTATTTTATAACAGCTATTGAAACAGATACTCTACATAAGCATTTTTAAAACATTCACGTGCATTTCAATTTTTAACATTATGGGATAGTTATATCAGGAGATGCACTCAGATATTTAAAACAGTCTCTGTGGAAATATGAGTCATGTAAAACTTATATGATTGAGGAAGAAACTGAGACTGTATGCCGACGTTTGAAAGAAGCAAATTAGAATAAATTATCATGAAATATGTATGCCTTTATGTGAAGCAAAATTATATTAATCAAGTCACATATATCTAAAATGTTTCAATAGACACACCCCATGATTACTGCTTTTACTTATGAACATATTCTGTGAATAGATCTAAGTGTCTGATGCCAGTTTATGGATTGATTTTATAACATAGGATTTAAATTCCTTGGAAGAGCCAACAGTATATTTAGAACTCAAACATATTTGTTAGGGAAAGACATGGCATATATTTCTAAGCATAGAGCTATAGGAATTGCTCCTAAATAGGCTTCAATCACAAACAATATTCCAAAACGGAAACAATAAAAAATTATATTTGGCTTTGAGGTTTTAAAATATCAATACACCAATGGATGGGTGATCACATTTTATTATCTGAAAACCAGCTGGCACAAGCTGAAAACTCTGTAAATAGTATTCTCAAAAATCTTTCTTTGTCAATGGAGAGAATTTGAAATATGACCCTGAAATGATGCGTTACAAATGATCACATCTTTTTAATTTTACAGATTTATTTTGAGTGTACGAGGCAAAGGAGACATTATGATAAAATTTCACAGTAAATTTTATAAATTATTTCCTTCTTAAAATTGTGATGACTAACACTTGTAAATCCATCACCATTCTCATATAAAGAGTTCTGTCTTAGGAATACGGAAAACTTCCAGTCTACTTGGAGATGTCAGAGAAGTCCTACAAAGCATGGTGACAAATGAGCCAGGTATTTAAAAAAAAAAAAAAAAGGATATGAGCAGCTAAGACAGGCTGGGGAGTAGATATTGAAAATAATAGAAAAAGATGTAGGGTCAGGAAATAGAAATGCACAGCCGAAGAAGTGCAAAGAAAAAAATTATTTTTCCAGATAATTATGCTCATTCTTGAATCATGGAACATCACCATGTGGAAAGTAATCTTTTTACATGCCTTTCTCTCCCACAAAACTGAAAATACATTGAAAGAATAGACTGTGTTGTTATTATAATATCTTCCAGGGATCTCATTGTGTTTAGAATATTGTCTGTAATCAATAAATGTTTTTATATGAATTAAGGCAAAAAGGCCTCTAAGCATAGAAAAGATAAGTATCTGAAAGTCGCCCCTGCCCTGTACCCTGTGGCAGAACACTATTAAGAAATCCAGGAAAGCATTCTAAGAATGATTCAACAACATAGGGAAATAAAAATGCAAGGAAGGATTACAATTATGATCATATGCATTGTATTTTCAACAAGGCAATCCATCTGTGAGATAAAATTTACGTTGTAAAATTTTGTTCCGCGTCCCTAAATTATATTGTAATAATAATGTTAGTAACATCTAATATTTACTGAGTATGACCATATGTCTTTCACTGTACTAACACTTTACACATATCCAGTTAAATCTCACATTTATATATGTATATGTATATAAGTACTATCATTATCCCCATATTACAAATATGAGGATTATAGCACAGATAATTTAACTAACCTATCCAAAGTCTTGCAGACATTAATTTGTAGAGTCAACTTTTGAACACAATCATTCTGCTCCAGAGTCAATACTTTTAATCCTCTTATACTGCCCGTTATGGTGTTAACAATGAAATTATCCCTTTGCTTGTATTACTGTTCTTACCTCAGCTGACTTTTTGACGAAAAGTTGTAAGACTGCGAAAGACCCACAGAATCCTAACCGAAGACTAACTTGACATCTCTTGACTCACTAGATCCTGCTATCCCTGGCACATGGAAATTATGTGGAATGCCAAAAGTAACACAATGAGCGTTAGGTTAAAATACATACATGCATACATATACAAATAAATATCTTACTTCTTCTCCATATTTATTAGCATTAGAAATACCATAACACACTGTATGTACTTTGGTAGGTAGATGAATTCATATTAATATGCAAATAGAATTTTCCTACCAAATAAGTTAAGGTGATCAGTTCAGTTTATGATAGGAAATGTGAGTTGATGTAAAGATAGAGCTGTCATACATGTGCACATATATACGCTGGCATATCCATACATATATATGTCATAATGGCTATGAAAAAACACTATTAGTTTCTTAGTTTTACAAATTATAAAATTATATTTACATACACTGTTTGCCCAAATTCATAGTGCATGTTGGAGATTGTATGCCAGAGAAGCCCAAGTCATCAGTTACCTCCAGCCGCCCAGTCTTCACAGCTGAGCTGCAAATAATATGGAACAAAGGAAAGCCATTCCTTATACTGCTTTGCTGAATTCCTGACCCCCCAAGCCCATAAGCTTAATAAAATCACAGTTTTAAATCTGTTAAATTTCAGGGTGACTTGTTACACAGCAATAGAAACTAGAACAACATACAAAGAAAATAAAATTGTTGCCTACTCACATTTAATAGCTATATGGAATTATAGACTCTGGACATGCTCTGAAACAGAATTTGATAACCTCACATAATTTCTCAGCATGATATTCATCCTTCCAAAATTTGCATTATTGTAAGAGATACAATTACTAGAGGTTTTTCTCTTCATATTTTTCTTCATAAGTTTGGATGTCTCTCTGTTCATTGAAATTTAAATCAATTTCTGTAATAACTGGAATGCTTAAATCTTTGTGTTTTAAAATAGTGTCTCCCTAAATAATTCTTTGCATTACATTTTCATTTTTTAAAGTATAATTCTAGCTCTTAAAATGCAAATTGCAATATTTTCCTTTGTGAAATAGAGAAATGTAGAAATAATCGCACCGTATAAAAACTATTAACATTTTACACATCCTGGTTTAGTTGAATAGTTAAATACTTTCAGATGTCTACAATTGCTTAAATATACTAATCATTGTGTGCTTTCTCACATATTTCCTAAGTATTAAATGATACATTCTTTTTAACTGAATTGTTATGAAACATCAGAATTAATTTTAAATGGTGAAACGTAATCATGTTCCTATTTATAATGAATGTATTGTCAGTTTCCTGTTTTATATATACATAGGATATGGTATGGTAAGTACACATAGTATTATTTTTTAAGTCCATAAAAATTACTTTATCCATTAAGAATTTTCAGAAATTGTATAACTTTTAAAGTTTTAGTTCACAGATGCGTCACTCACCATATTGAAAACAAATTTCCTTTCTTTTCAGCACTTTCATTCCAATATAGCTGAGGTGGGTCTGAGAGCTTGTTTGCTTTTGTTTTTTTTTTTCTTTTTTGGATAAAGCATCCTGGGGAAGAGGCCAGAGAAAGTATCATGAGAGCTGGAAGATTCACACAAAGTTCATTTACCCTTTCCATGTTTCTCTGAGCCTGAAATGTGCCCTTTGTTCTTCTACCTGATGGTTCCCAAGCTGTTGAGCAAACAGTAATCTGGTGTTTATATAAAGGCGAAACTGCACTCTGGCAGGCAAATGAATGAAGGTGAATGTCAAACTCTGGTTAAAAAATTGTCTACGTTTCTGCAGAAGAGTTTGCAGAACTTTTTTATATCTTCTTGCCAAATGCAAACTTTATACAGTTGGTGAGGAAATAAAACCATAGAATGTGCAGTACTATTCACTCTAGAATTTTTATAACTATTTTTATAATCCTCCTCCAGAAGATGGTCCTCCAAGTAATCTCAGTTGTTTCTTCCTTTTTTTTAATTGTTATTTTCTTATCAAAATTTTTTTAGCATTTATTTTTGAGAGACAGAGTGAGACAGAGGGGGAGGGGTAGAGAGAGGGAGACACAGAATATGAAGCAGGCTCCAGGCTCTGAGCTGTCAGCACAGAGCCCCATGCAGGGCTTGAACCCACCAACTGCGAGATCATAACCTGAGCCAAAGTCAGACACTCAAGCAACTAAGCCATCCAGGCATCTCTCAGTTGTTTCTTTATTCTTATCTTGTGTGTGTTTTTTTTAATTGTGGATCTTTAAAGACATAAGTTTGTTTAGACTTAATTATTTAATTAGGTTCCATTTATAGAGTCTCTACTACATGTGAGGTACTACACTAAGCACTTTACACATATTAACCCATTTAACTTTTATTATTACTCTCTGAGACAGGACCCTATTATCTTCTTTATTTTATAACCAAGGGAATAAAAGCACATAGAGGTTTCTTAAACTGACAAACATCATGTACCATTTAAGTAGCAACGCCAAAAAAAAAAAAAAAAAAAAGTAGCAATGCCAGTCACTTATATGCAGATAAACTAAGTGATAAATTTACTCTAAGTGAACTTCAAACATCCTCCATTTTGGGCCAATTATTTATCTAAAATGTAAATGTGACCATGTCATCTCCAAACATGAAAACATCAATAACTGTTCTTTACTACTGTGGGGAATTTTAATAGCTCAGCATGCAGTTCAGGATTTGAATTTATCAGGTCCTGCCAGTCTCTCTGATCCCATTTCCAATACCCCCTACTCTGATACTCCAGTTATTCCAGACTTTGTGTTTTCTTTTCTTTCTTTTTTTTTTTTAAATTAATGCTTGTTTATTTTGAGAGACAGAGAGAGAGCCAGCAAGGGAGGGATGGGTGAGAGGGACAGAGAGGAACCAAAGTAGGCAGAGAGCCCAATGAGGGGCCTGAACTCACAAACTGTGAGATCATGACCTGAGTCGAAGTCAGACACTTAACCAACTGAGCCACCAGCCACCCCATAGACTTTGTGCTTTTCCAAATGCTCCATTTAATTTCATACTCCCATGACACTTTTTATATCATTCTATCCTGGAATGTTCTCCCTCTCCTCCCTGGTCACACTGCAAACATCTATTCATTCTTTAAAATTTAGCTCACGTGTCATCTTTCCCAAGAAGTTATCCTTAAATTCTACTACTACTGCCAGATGATAAATCAATGCTTCTGCTATTTCTGTAGATTGGGCATTATTCAACTATTTATGTACCATTGCATTAAAATAATTTATCTGCACATTTTATGTCTACAACACAAGGGTTTCTTTTCAAAGAGGTCCTCCTATGTTATTCATTTTTGGGCTCCTTGTATCTGGAAGAGTATCAGATATATAATATCAGATATATAATAATAATTGTTGAATAAATGAATGTGAATATTAGGGCTTAACTACTGAACTCTAGAAAACTTGTCAAACTCCACCAACTAAATGTAAGTTTAATGTATGACATCAACAAGTCATTAACTCATTTTGTCCAGAAAGTGGACAAATTCCACTTGTTTATTTCTTAAACAACTTCTGTCCAGTTTCCCTATGTGATGTCATATTTCCTGAAGCACTTAAACCTCATGTTTTCCTTTGTCTAATTCAGAAAGGTCAGAGGACTAAATAAATATTTCCTCCTTATAATAATAAGGAGAAGCATGTTAATACCAATGACACATTGTTTAAAACATAGCTGCCACTATACTCAAAACCACCTTATGTGACAGTACATTCATTATCTCCATTTTAGAGATGAGTTATGGAAAGTGTAGAGAAGGTAACTAAGTTATAAGTGTTACCAGCTGAACTGAAAGCAGTCCAGGTCTGACATGAGTGACAAAAATGTCTGAAAGAAGAGCAAGAAGTCTGCAATACGCTGCCGTCATGAATCTCTGTGAAGACCTACATGCAGGGAGTTGTGAGGCTTTATCACTCTCCTACCACAAAGTGCAATGCCGTGTCCTCCAAAAGGCAAGCCTTCCTTCAGAATGGTACTCTTGGTGTCAGCAGTCTCTCTGCTTAGTTCTCCGTATCTGGGAACCTCCAGTATCTAAATAGCCCATGGCCTTTTGCACTACCTGGTAATGTGTTGTTTCCTAAACTTGAGCTAGATAAAGATGACATCATTGTAGGCACTCTTGACTAATCATCTGCTTTCTTTTTCTCACAAAAGCAATATACACTCATTGCAGAAAATAGAAACTCACACGGAAGACAAATGTCATTCATAATTCCACAATCCAAATCTATACTGATAAAATTTTAATGAATATAGAAGAGAGAGGGAGAGAGACACAGAGAAGGACACAGAGAAAGAGGCCATATTTTTAAAATATGAAATGAAGAGCAATCCTGCATATACTATTTTGAAACTTGATGATTCATTTACTATGTCCATGAATATTTGCTCATGCTATCAAATAAATTTTGAATTCTTGCAATGTATTAATCATTAGCTAATATTTCTCAGGAAATTTTTAGCTGCTTGGCATTTCACTAAGTGAATTTAATAGTACCTCTCATACATCAATCTATAAGGTAAATATATTATCATTACTAAAATTTAGAGAATAAAAGTAAGCTGTGCAAGTCTATATAGTAAACATCCAATATTTGTATTATGCTTTGTCTGATCCAGAAGAACAGTGTTCCATATGGTGCTTGGATGCAGTTCAATTTATTTAAACCATTTCCCACTGGGGGCTTTTAGCCTATTTTACAACTTCTTTTTTAAAAATAACTTGGTACTGAGCTTCATTGTATTGGAAATTATTTTATCTATAAAACTTTTTTTAGAGCAGTTTTAGTTTTATAGCAAAGTTGAGAGGAAGGTACAGAGATTTTACCTATCTTCCCCATTACCAACATCCCCACCAGATACATTTGTTACTATTGACAGACCTATATTGGCACATCATAACTACCCAGAGTCCCTAGTATACATCTGTGTTCACTCTGGTGTTGGATTATATAGTCTACAGATGCCAATGATATCCAGTTAATTGATGGTATTGTTGAGTTTATCTATGCCTTTACTGCCTGTTATCTCGTCCTTATCTGCCTTAGGTAGCTACATATGCATGAGTTTATTTCTAGGTTCTGGATTCTGTTCCGTGTATATATATGCACACACACTATACTATATACTATATCATATATATACACACACACATATATATATACACACACTATATATATATATATATATATATATATATATATATATATACATATACACACACATATATCTACAGTACTATACACACACCCTCTACACATAGCTTTTAATATAGTTTGAAATCAGGAAATGTGATGTCTCCAGCTTTGTTATTCTTTTCAACATTGTTTCAGCTATTCAGACTTTTTAAGTTCTATATAAATTTTAGGACTTTTTTTTTCTATTTGTGTAGAAAACACCAATGGAATTTTGGTGTTTGATAAGGACTGCACCAAATTAGAGATGCCTTTTAGATAGTATGGTCATTTGAACAATACTAATTCTTCCAAATCATGAACATCAGGTATCTTTTTTTTTTTTAATTTTTTTAATGTTTATTTATTTTTGAGAGAGACAGAGAGAGACAGACTGTGAGTGGAGCAGTGGCGGAGAGAGAGGGAGACACAGAATCGGAAGCAGGCTCCAGGCTCTGAGCTGACAGCACAGAGCCTGACATGGGGCTCGAACCCAAGAACCATGAGATCATGACCTGAGCGAAGTTGGACACTTAACCAACTGAGCCACCCAGGCACCCAGGTATCTTTCCATTTTTCATTTTTTGGTGTGCTCTTCAATGGCTTTCACGTCATATAGTTACAATTTATTTTACTTCCTTGGTTAAATTTCTTCGTAAGTATTTTATTTTTTCAATAGTATTTTAAATAGAATTATTTTATTTCTTTTTTGGATAATTCATTGTCAGTGTATAGAAACACAACTGATTTTTGCATATTGATTTTGTATCTTGCAATTTCACTCAGTTAATTAGTTCTAACAATATTTGAGGAAGTCTTTAGGATTTTCTACATGTAAAATTGTGTCATTTGCAAACAGAGACAATTTTACTTCTTCCTTTCCAATTTGGATGTCCTTATTTTCTCTTCTTGTCTGATTGCTCTGTCTAGGACTTCCAATTCTATGTTGAACAGCAGTAATGTTGCTGACAAGACACTCACATTAGCTTAAAGGACACAGACTGGGAATGAAAGAGTGGAAAAAGACATTTCAAGCAATCGAAAGAGTTACTTAGATTTATATCAGACCAAATAGACTTTAAGCTAAAAATGGTTAAAAGGGACAAAGAAGATAATAATGTAATGACTGGATAATTTCACATGACTTGTCTTTTAGACCCTGATTCCTTCTGCTGAAGAATTGTGTTTGCTGTTGACCCTATTGAATTTTTTAGTTCATTCAATTGTATTCTTCAGCTTTAAGATTCCTGTTTTTGTTTTTATGGTTTCTGTTTCTTTGTTGAGCTTCTCATTTTATTCATGCATTTTCTTCCTAATTTTGTTTAGTTGTCTATTTGGATATTTTTTATAGTTCACT